GGGGTAGATGTTACCCTTAAAATAATGAGCCTAAAAGACGAATTGCAGCAGCATGCAGATCAATTCCCAGTGAACTTTTCCTAATAGTTAGAGGGGAGCTCGGAAACAGACTTTATTACTGTTTACAATACAATGAATAACATTTTGAATAGTATTTAAAATAGTGTACAAGTAGATCCTATGTGTTTTATTTTTAAAATTTCTTGTGCAAATTAAAAGTTATTTTTGTAAAATCACGTAACCACAAAAATTAAAACGTGTAGACTTGATATTCCTCCTGTTATTCAACTCGATAGAATAATATTTGTTTAAATACCAAACTGAACACACAGAATCTCAGTGCAGGCTCGTTCCAACTTCTGTAACTTCAGAACCTGCTGGTCAGAAGATAATATAAATTAGGGTAGTATTGGAAAGATAATTAAACGCCTTTTAAAATGATGTGCCACTTGACCCTCTTTCCCATTGAAGATTTTAAGGGTAATATCTACCCCTTCTAGGAGGTTGAACCACGAGTATTAAAAGTAGTCATTGTGTCCCCCTTGAAAATAAAATTGACAGGTTTTTGCCATTTTTCATATTATTTACTGAAAGAAAGATATTTAGGGTGGGAAGTTTTCGGTGAGTCACCCAGTATAACATTGATTCTATACTGACTCAGTTTTCTTTCTTAAGAGCATACCGAACACCTTAAAAATGTATATTTTTAGAAAATACCAATAATAACAAAACTTAGGGTGGAGAAACCTTGAATATTTTGTAAACCTTCGAAAAATATTTATTTTGAAAAATTTTAAAAGGAATTACAAAGCATTTACGCGCCATTCTGTATTAAATCTGTAAAAATTTGCTGCTTTTTGTTTTAATAAATATCTAGTAGTTTTTAAATGGGAAGATTTCTCACCTTTCTTTCTTAAACCTCTCTAGAGTGCTGCCTTATCGTTGCACAAATTTAAAGCTATGTTCTTGAGAAACATTATATTCCAAAGTATTCCCAGTGGCACACTAACAAATACAATTTTATATTAGAAAATCCTTAAAACGTTTTTGCTTTCGCGAGAGGTCTGGTTTGCTGATTGTTTGTTTTAGATTTTGTATTTCTTCCTCCATTTCAACGATTTTTCCAACCAAAATTGCTACATTCTTAAGAGCTTCTCGATAATCATTACAAAAGTACATAAGGCTTCGTTTTTGTAATACAAAAGCTCTAGCCTCCGAAGTAGAGAGTCCAGAGCATTTTTCAGCTATTTGAATAGTATATAACACATTTAAGTTGCTTTTTCTGGATTTTCTGTATTATACCTACCTTTTTGTAATATTTGTGCTTTATTTATGTTTTTGGCTATTCCATAACGAATTTCTATTATTTTTCACTTATTAATACCTACTTGAAGCGACTAATTCAACAATTTTATATTGATTCTTGTATGTATTATAATAATTGTACTAGTTATGCTGTAGATTTTTAATGCCTAAACACTATTTACTTGTGCTTTTTAATAAGAATTACGTATTTTAAATGATATTTAACACATTATCTCTGCTGAACTGAGTTGTTGGTTGTCAACTTGTTTGTAAGCCATTTTTGTCAATATAAAAATTATCAACTTATCAACCCGACTACATTGACCCAATGCACCCATTTATGAAACCGATAGAAGAACATGTAAACAATGTCAGCTTACTGATATTTTTCAATATAACTAATTAAATAACAGTTTGTCAAATGTCGCCCAACTCTATTAGATATCCACTGAAGTTTACACATTGTAAATTACAGGTATGTTTTGAGATCGTTTGTGAATTAGGTAATAAGAGGAAAAAGGATGTGTGAAAATACTTTATTACCGGCATAGTAATGTTACTGGTTAAATACCATGTGAATAAATGGACTGGTAATTTTTAACAGTATTTTTATAAACAACGTGGATCAAAAAGTTTGCAGGTTAATGCTTTGTAATAGGACAATGTTGATTTAACCACACACATTTATATACTCTCCATTCCAAGTTTTATAATTCGCTTGCCGTTATAATTTTCTAATTATTTCTTAAATTAGTTCTGTTTGGTATACATAGCTACAGAAAATTTAATGTTAATATTTTTAGATCTAGATTTTGTTCAGTGTTTCCCAAATAACATATAAAGGTATGTTGTAATGCCATATATTTTTGAGACCGTTTGGATAATTAAAAATATTGGATAGTAAACTAAAGAATATTTATTCTATTTCTTTCAGGTAAAACTTCTTACTGGAATAATAAAACATCCCTTTATATTATTTGATAAACATATCTCATTAAAATTAAATTGAGTGAGTGTTTAGATAGTAACTAACATTATTTTTGTATTTGTGCTTAAAAAAAATCTTTTTTACTTCCTGCTTTTTAATAAAAGTATGTTACTTGTATATTTTTCGTAACATTTTCGTTATATTTTACTAAACCTCCGTTTTTAACCCAGATGCGATTGAATAACAATGTTTGTGGATGAGTTTATTTCTAATTGGTAATAATTAACTTTCGCTTTAGCCTTTATTTTTGCAAAATACACTGATTTTTTTTTTGCGTTTTTAATGATTTATTCTCGGAAGTCATCCGTATATTCTTTTAATTACAGAAGTATTGACAGCAATTCTCTGGGACCCTGCGATCTAACTAGTTAATAATTTTGAATACAATAACATTTTGAATTCCTAACTCACTAAACAATAATTTATTCTGATGTATTTCTCGTTTGGACTTAATTAATAAAGCTTACCTAACTCTAACATGGTTACGGTAAAAATTGGAACTACATTAAACTTATTAAATGCATGTATTAGGATACGTTTGTGGAATAATAGAACAGTTAACTGGATTTAACCATTTTAGAAAATTGTAGACAAATTTTGGTAGTGTGAATGTTTCTGAGTTTTATAGTTTTTGAAAAAATCACCAGATCTACAGTGCACAACATTGTTATAATGCCAGGTTTAGTGTTAAAGAAAATAATGCATTTTGTGTTTTTTGTAAATACTTTTTAATAAGCGAGGTTTTTTGCATTTTAATTAATTAAAATCATATTAGGCCGATTCAACATAGTGCGTTTTCCTCAAATCTTTTCACAACAAATTATTCATCCATCGTTTTTTACATCAAATTATATTGATGAAAATGTTAACTTTGTCTTAAGGACCTATTTATGTTTTTCCTGAGAATTAAGTCTTGCATCACCTTTGGCTGTTACTTCACAATTTTCCATTTTGTTGAAATAACGAACTTAAACGGTAGGGGACACTTGGTAGAATTTAAAATGCCTGTTTAGTGTTATATTATCTTAATATCCGAGTTCATACAGTATATGCTCCCTGATTCCTACCTGCATCACATTACTAGTTCTATATTTAATTTTTTTTTTATTCTGTATCGAATTTACGCCCCTAAGGTTTTTTAATATCGATGGGATAAAATTAAAACCGTTATTATCATTTGAAATTATATTTTTACAATATTAACTTATCCGAGTTTCATAAAAATATTAGTATTTGTAAACTTTATTGGCTGCAGTTCTATCATCGAATTATTTTGATGTTTTGAGTCTCTAATTTAAATGGTAAGCCTTTTAATAATTTGAAAATTCTTTTTAAAATTTTATCATAAAAATAATTATGTATTTGTTATTAAAGTGAAATTAACAATAACTACCGACACCAGTGCGTTTAAATTGAAGACAAAATGATTTGGGGGCGATCCTGCATCTGCCCAGGTACATCTCACGCACTTATGTGTTGGCATGCCTGCATCAGATATTTGTCACTTGCTTAGTTTTTTGGCAGTGATTGGTTTGTTTACTGTCATTTGGTTGAATTTATTGCATTCATCATTCTGAGTAATCTATTATACATTTTTATCGTATATTTATATTTTTGAAATCACTAATCACAACTACCTATCAGTTTATTTTTGTAGATTTTGGATATTGTCATTTTTGGTATGTTTAAAAGTGTATGATTTTTTATATTTATTCTCTCTTAGATGAATTTGTATGGTATATTATTTTTAACAGAAATAAATGTTCTCATATTTCTATCAATAAAAATCAATAAAAAACAATAAAAATCAATAAAAATCAATAAAAATCAATAAAAATCAATAAAAAACAATAAAAAACAATAAAAATCAATAAAATCAATAAAAATTAATAAAAATCAATAAAAATAAAAAAATCAATAAAAATCAATAAAAACAATAAAAATCAATAAAAATTAATAAAAATCAATAAAAATCAATGAAAATCAATAAAAATCAATAAAAATCAATGAAAATCAATAAAAAGCAATAAAAATTAAATCAATAATAAATAAAAATCAATAAAAAATCAATAAAAATCAATAGAAATCAATAGAAATCAATAAAAATCAATAAAAATCAATGAAAATCAATAAAAATCTATCAAAATCAATAAAAACTAATAAAAATCAATAAAAATAATTAAAAATCAATAAAAAACAATAAAAAAACAATAAAAAAAACAATAAAAAAAAACAATAAAAAAACAATAAAGAAAACAAAAATCATTAAAAATAAGTAAAAATAAATATAAATAGAGCGAATTTGCCTAAGAAGTTTCATTTCTATTGTGTGTTTGATACACTTTTTTTTTAGTATTACGATTCAATATTTTTTTAGCAAAATGAATAATATACAATACAAATACACTACTTTAAACTTTTAGAGAGCAATAAAACATTTCTGTTAGTTATCAAGTTTAATTGAAAAACACTTTTCTAATGTGTGGTATTGTAGTTTTCTTTAGCTGTGTGTCCGATGCTAGGCTTTATAAATATTAGATGTTATTTTTTTGTTTTTCCTCGTACAGGTGAGTATCTATTTTAGTTTTGTGCCCTCTAAATTTTCAATGTCAGACAAAAACAAAGAAAGAAAAAAATGACAATATACCAAACTCATTGTATAATTTTTACTGTTTTATTGAGACTTTGATAGATTTTTTGTTATTAGGTATGATTGGGATGCCTCCAGGTATGGTTTATGGTGGCCCAATGTTCCCTACAGGACCCGTGCTGATGCAACCACGATATAGATGATCTCCGTTATACCTCGTTTATCATCCGCAAGTTTAAATTAAGTCCAATTTTTTTAACATAAGATTCAAATATTTCGTTTTTGTTGAACAATTTTTTATATCCATTTATTAACTTGCATGCAGCGAAAGTGTTTTTTGTTGATCATTTCTATTTATAATTTTTTATTTTGACAGGTTTTGAAAAAGTACAAACATAAGTTTCTGATACAAAATACCTGCCTGCACGGTATGTAAATTTTTTTATATATTTTTTTTTTTTTTTTCATCATTCGGATTTATCTTTAATGAAAAGGTTTGTCTATTTCTTACTTATTAATTATTTATCAGGTTGTCGTTCAAACCACAAAAATAATTTTGATGGACATTTATGGATAGAGAATTTTAAGGTCTTGTTTTATTTACATTTAAAAAATGGGAGTTAATAAGGTATTTAATACATATTTTGAACGGAAGTAGATTGTAATTTTAATTAATAATGTGTCAATTTATTTGCCATTTTATCATCTTTTATATTATATTACCAACCTAATTGTATTAATTTTTATAGAAGATTACAATTTTATTTACTCTCCCAGACCTGTAATTCATAATAAATTGTATATTCTATTTTACTTAAAACTTTTAAAGATCTTAATCTTCTTTTGTCCATTTGGCAGGTTCGTACCATTTATCTTTTCTTTTTTTCAAATCATGAAAGGTAAGAAATATTGAATAGTCTATTTTTTTGTAATCTAATTTTGGAAGGTCATCGCCATTTTTTTTTTAATTTCAATAGGAATTTTTCATTAATTTCCTGCATATTAAAAACTTTTTTAATTATAATTATAGGAACGATTATTTTAAATATGATTATTACATTTTTAAAGCGGATATTTTTTACTTAAATTTCATCTAATAGCCACATTTTGCAGTCTGATTGATCACAAAATTGCAGTACATTTGCAGTCGATCCTTGTTGGATGGTTTTGGTACATCAAAGAGTAGAAATAATAGAATAAACATTTTCTATGCCTTCTTTTTCTACTCAAAAGAAGTAGCAGTGCCTCTTCTATCTTATTTTGTGTTATGTGATCAGGTTGTAGTTGCTTCTATCGGAAGTCAACCACAAAAATTGCAATCGGCCACATTTTGCAATGTAATTAATAATAATAATAATAATAATAATAATAATAATAATAATAATAATAATAATAATACTCTTCCTAATTCACCCACTTAAGTCGACTGAGAGACTTGTATAGGGGAAGGGACGCCTATTATTATTATTATTATTATTATAATTTTTATTATTAATATTATTTGCCGTGGTGCTTCGGGGCGACTTAAAGATGATTGATGGTGCCATTTTACTTACAGGCGAGGAAAACCTCACCCACCATCATGGAGACGGTAACGCTTGGCGATTTATAATCTGCATGTCATATCAACAGAAATTACATTTCTGTTAATACGGCACACATCAAATCCTATACCGAACCATGCAATTTATGCCGCTCTGTCTGTCTCTGAACCACAAACTTGCCTATAAATGAATATAAGTGCGTGAGATTGCTACGCCACCGATCTGACAAAATTGCAGTCTAATTGTAGTCGATATATGTTGAATGGTTAACAAAAAAGATACCTTATCTCTAGCACAAACAATAGAACAAACATTTTCTGTCTTCTTTTTTTCTACTCAAAACAAGTAGCAATTGTTTGTTTTGTGGTCAGGTTGTAGTTGCCTTGACCGCAAGTAAACCACAAAATTGCCTTCGGTACGTGGTGTGATTCAGCCGCAAATTGCCGCCCAAATTTATGGTTATCTCAACTGTCAAATGTGGCTCGTGTATAGTCTATAAACAAGTCATGATATTGTTGTCTTTAGAACTTAAAAAATAGTTTAGTTGACACTATGTACATAATATTTCTCTAGAAATAAAGCTAATTAGTTTCAAAGTACAAAGCAATACTTTTAAGTAGATATAACTTTTATATTGAACATGCAAGAAATAAGTAAATTAATTCTATTGGAATTACGGTTTTATAGACGATTCAATCTAAGTGTATCAACTATGCATCGTTTTGTAAACACACTATTGAAAATTAACCAACACCAATTATTTGTGGATTTAGAATATTTAATGTAAGAAGTAAAGCTTTTAGAATAATCCCACTATTTAAAAAACTAACAAGAGGCCTGGTTAATAAGGGTAACTTATTTAGATATTTTATAACCAGTATTTTAATTACTTTTTCCATAACGAATAATGAGAGTACGTAAAAAATAGATATTATTGACATGCAGTTCTTTATATGGCACCAATTACAATTTGAATCGTCTATAGCCAATTAAATAATCAGAAAAAGAAAATTTTATACAAAAGCATCATTTTTAGGATACAGCAAATTTTTTAGACTACAACATTAAGTTGGGTTGTGTAAATATTAGAATTGTAATGAAAAATGACATGACGTCTGACCTTTTCAAAAAGTAAATTGTATTCAACTAAACGAACACCAAAACGTGTGTATTTTTATCAAGTAAAACAAAAATCATCGAAATTTCTTTTAACTAATTTTGAATACAGTTTACGCCAAATATTAAAGGAATAAAAATAATAATGTAATCAAAACTAAAAATAAGTATTTGGAAAAAAGCTTTGTAAATCTGAAAAGGTAGGTCTTAGATAAATTAAATTAGAAAAAAAATTATATTATCCTGCATAGCATTTGTGAAGTCCGCATAGAAAATTTTGAGATGTGAAAAGGTACGCCAATTTTTTTATTAATGGTGAACGGGAAATAAGTTTTCATATATATTTCAGTTATATGAAAATTTAATTTAATTAAACCAGACGTGAGGATGCTTTTGAGCCAAAAATAATTGACAATTGAAATTTTAATTTAATCAATTCGGCGTGAAATAATTTTTTTACCTTTACGTTTTTTTTTATAAACAATTAGAATTAGTTTAAAAACAAAAAAATACTAATCTTAAAGGAAGACTTCTTTGTATAATTTAAAATTTTTACCTACATTTTTTGGTTTCAAACATTACTTGATATAAAAATAACTTATCTAAATGTTAATGTGTGATGTTATCTCGTCAGTTAAATATATGAATTGTGTATTGTAATGCTTTTTAATGCATAATTGGAGGCGACTATTCTTTAAAGAAAATTATTTTTGTTTGGAAGCACCCGTCTTGCACCTGGAAAGGGTCTTGTAGATGGACAGGCGACGTCAGTCACAGCATTGTAGCTGTTGGATTGATGAAGCCCCCTGTATTTCTATATATTACGATTACTGTAACCACTGCATTTTAAACAAAATACAATTACATTACACTGTGATATATCTTATTTTCGAATCGTAATATACAGTGAACACAGGTGATTACTAGGTCACAGCAATTAGAATAAATGAGGAAAACATGGTTGTGCTGTTGGGCCATCGATCCCCTGTCAAGAAAATGTGGCTTTACACAGGCGATTGTTAACGGTTTTTGCCGTTCACAATCACAGGTTTGTACCTGTTGGACCAGATCAAATAATTTTGACGGTTTTAAAGATATCATCTACATGCAGAATTTAAAAAGGGATATTTTGGCGAGTTACTGCTTGATCAACTGTGATACAGGAAGTTGGTTTCCTACTACAAATAATTTAAATGGGTACAGATTATATATATTTTTATCACTGTCGAGTAGCTCGTGCAACGTTACCTCTTAAACGTCTTTAATTTTTATGGTGGTTAGTAAATGCTTTGTAAATACCGAATTTTCTTGTCAGTTATTTGTGATCTGGACCCCTGTAATTCACCGCAATATATGTATTTATTCAAGTAGTTCTATAATTATAACATTTTGATGTATCCCGTTGTTTGACCAATAAAGTCACGTTAAAAAATAATCTTGTTTTATTTACCTATTTTTCCAACATAGAAATATTGAAAAATATTGTTGCTTGCAAATTATAAGATGGAATTCCCAAATCACACTATAGACAGGGTCGGCATGAGCAATGTGTGTTGTGACAGCCCGCCCCCAGGCCCCCTCTTCTTTTGATTTGTTCTTGTATTTTACTTTACTCTCTTTGAAATGTAATTTTTTACCTCACAAGTTTTACTTTAAATTCTATACTTACTGTAATTTGGCCTTTTTCCTCTAGTAGTAGAAGTGATCGCCTAGTTAATTAATTGATATTTTATGTACCCACGTTGTGATAATGTTAATTAAGGTAAACCTGAATTCGATGCAAAGTTTGGTGCAAATTGATAAATAAAACATACAAATTTATATTTAAACTCTTTTTTATTTTTCATACTTTAAATGTGATGCAATAATTAGCAAAGTATTTTACAATTGTTACTATTTACTGAGATCTCACTTGAGTCCCTTTCAAACGCAGACCATATTCATTTGCTATCAATATATATCCTATTTAGGTTGATGACCAACAGAGTTAACAAACAGCGTCAATTCGCCAGTTGATTAACTATAGTGTTGTTGTTTATATTCTGATTTAGGTTGATGACCCACGAAGTTAACGAACAGCGCCAATTCGCCAGTTGATTAACTATTGAGTTGATGTTGATTTGATTCTATTGTAGATATATACAGGTTGCACCCTCTTAGGTAAATATTACGATGAGTATAGAGGTGATGACCAACGGAAGTAACAAACAGCGCCAATTCGCCAGTTGATTACCTTACTATGTTGATTTCACATATACTTTGTTTCAAACCTTGTAGAACGGGTTGCTTAGCGTATAGGTGTCCCCCCTTGAGCTAACGAACAGCGTATTCGCCAGTTGGTTAACTTACTATTAAATTTTACCATCTTGGTTTGTACAATTTATCCAAGATAGCACAACCCTGTATATTTCCAAAATATTGATCTTTATAATTTCTATTGATATGACTTAATACAACCCTGTATGTATTTTAATATTGATTATTATAATTTCTATTGAAATAACTTAATATAACCCTGTATATTTCTTAATATTGATTTTTATTATTTCTATTAAAATACTCCAAATTTCACCCATCCAAAACAGATGTTATCCTATCTTTCGGGGTGTATGACCTGAAGGCCATGTGGTTTATTGGTTAAATTGATAATATTTTACAGCAAATGTCAGGCCGCCCTTAAACGAAACCGGGGTGGTATCTCAAAGAAGGTTAAATAAATCTTTTGACTCACCATTGAAAATACAGACATTAAATTATGTACTAATTTCATCTAGCGTCGTGGAAGGCGTCGATGTAGGCACGTCGCAGGGTTGGGCGTCGAGGCGTCCATCGTCGAGACGTCTAGCGTCGTGATGGAAGGGAAGGTATTTAATACGGTACTGTATTGGGACAGATATACGGTAGAATTAAGTAGGTGGTGCGGGACGTGATATTATGAAGGAAATAATTATGGACGGCAAAGCGTCGGAAATAAGGCGTGGGACGTTGAGCGTCAAAATGAGTGTACGGTAGGAAATACTTAGATGGTGAGGAATGTGACAGCGTTCGAGACGTAGGGAGTAGGATGGCAGGAAGTTGGGCGTCGAGACGTTGACACCGTCGGGGATAGGAGGTACTGTAGGATAGACGTCGTTTAGGAGGAGCGTTTAGGAAAGGTACAGATTATATAACTGGGTACAGATAATAAAATGTATGCTTGCACATCAAATGATAAAAATTGAATGAATCCGAGCTCATTTTCGTCAGACTTTTTATACACAGTTTAATCGTTTCTGTGACGTCTCTATCGTTTTGTTTCTCATAGAAAAAACGAATGTAGGTGCAAAAGGGGGTGGGTTATTTATTACTTGCCTTGAAAGTTTTGTGTATCGAAATATTGTCGATATCGGTCTGAACATCGAAACTAGGAAAATAAGCGACTTAAGTGTTTTAATGATAATTACTTCGTAAACAGAAATACACTTTATGGTGTTTTCTTTCTCGAGGAACTCAGCCACGTGCATCTTTTACGGACGTGGTTATAGATATTATTTATTAGGTGTCGTAAATAAGATTTAATTATCTGGGAGATTTTTTTCGTTAAATGAAGCATTTTGAATTTAAAAGAATGGAACATTGTATTTAATAAATGGAATTAATAAATTATTAAGGTACCTGGGTGCGGTAGGTTACAGTGTAATGAAAATGCACAAAAATGTTTTTTTAACATTATTACGTGACAAATTATAAGAGAAGGAATATCCATCCTTACTGTAAATAGTGCACTAGGCGCAAGTAATTTTAGATAATTTTACAAGTACCAAAATAGACGCGTATTTTTTTAGCTACAAAATGAAATAAAATTATTTATACAAAAACTCTGATTTAAGGATTACCGCTGTTAATTATTGTCATTTTCACTAAAATCACTGTCACTACTTTCAGCTACGTTAATGATGAATCTTTGTCAATAGCAATAACATGTTTAATCACGTTCGCCCATTGTACGTTAGTAATTTTATTAAATGCATGTTTTATTAAATTAATAACATTCTCACTTGATTTTGGAGTAATATTGTTATCACGAATATCTTTTTTTTAATTGAGCCCATAATCTATGGGGTTAAAAATACAATAATAAGGAGGCAACCGCAGAATATCGTGTCCATGACTTTTTATAATGTTGTCTACTACATACTCATTGGTAAAATGTCCTAACTTCTCTAGTAGCTGCTATTTAGTATAAGTATCTTCAAAATATAAATCATTTTCCATTAAAAATTGTTGGATCACAGGTTTAGTTGAACTTTTGGTTGGAATTTTCCGAACTAATCTGAAATGATAGGACGGCGTTATCTAACACAACACTGTTATTATGTATTTTTGGAATTAAATCATTCTAGCCATTTTTCAAATAAATCTCCATCAATATCTTGATGCTAATCTAGAACACTTTTTTTATATCCTTAGCTGATAATAATAGAGCATCCTCCAATGCTCCTCCACAATGTAAGATACATATTCTTTTACTTCTGGCTGGGGGTAAATCAGCTACGCATTTTTTACTACCATCATTGTAATTTCATGAGTGTCAAACCAAGTTTCGTCCAAAAATACACTGTTCGTCCTCTACGAAATTGCCGAATTTTTTCAATATAATCTTGTCTCCATTTTACCAATCGATAAGATTCCTTGTGGTTTGTCCACCACTTTAAATTTAAAACCATGTGATCTTAAAAATCTCCACAAAGTAGTTTTATGGCAATTTCCAATTATCATTTTGTTTTTTAAAGTTGTCATATAATGTTTATCTGATAGGTCCCAATAAATACTTTGGTATACAACGAGAAGAACCGGAATCGTTTCGCGAATGCCGAGGTTCTGCTCCATTTTTTATAATTTTAGCTACTAATGTAGCAGAAATATTAGTTAAAAATATTGTTCGCTTCACAGCGGCAGATTGTGGTAACTCCAATTTAAGCTGCAAATAAATAAAATAGTATTTATCAACAGATCATCCCAAAAAACTATATAACATATGCATACAATTTAATAAGAAAATAGATAAACCACTTACTATTGTATACGTTCAGAACAACTTGTTTAGCATCCACCGATAGATGAGTGCGCTTTTTCTTTATCAAAGCTGACACATCCACATTAATTTCGGGAATAAATTCATCACTTTTTAACTCAATTATTTTAACAACACAAACTATATCGACAAACTATAAAACAGAAATAAATCAGGTTTGTTAACGATGGTCGATGGTCAGTTCAACCCTGCCCTTTCATCTGCGCAGAGGATTACAACAGTACCTCTATACAGACAAGAGCATTTAATTGTGACACTTATTCACTACTCACTTATTTAATACCTAAGGGTCACAATTCACAATTGTTTATTGAAATTCGGACCGCTGTCAATAACTACAGTTAACAACGCGGGTAAAACATCTGGGGTTTTCCAAATCTTATATACCTATATACTTTCGGGTTCAAATACTCCCTGAAAAAGTCTGATAAAAAATTACTATCATTTTTAACAGATGCTTTAGATACTCTCTTTACGATCCACCATCGTATAAGTAATGTAAAATAACCCTGCTTAGTTAACAACAATTTCATTCTCCAAGCGAAACAGTCACATTTAAAATTAAAACAAGATAATATAATCCCGGAATGTTTTGTGTTCAGTTTATTTTGTAAAACATCTTCACCAATCAACTGTTTGTTATCTGATTGTTTATTCAAAGTTAAAGAAGATAAAATAAAGAAAGTTATTATTAAGGACAGCGTCTCCTAGGAATTTCTGAACAAAATTATGTCACTTTAGATTCAATCAAGGAGGTGCTGTTACCTACCGACTAGAGATTGAATTAGTGCAAATTATTACAGAAATCTGTAAGTAACTATAAATATCGACCGACTAGCTATTAGGGGATATTGTATTATAAACCGGTTTTTAGTAGACTGAGTTCGAAGAATCATAATACTAGTCCTGAACATAAAATCTATTTTTCAATAATTGCCGGGATTTCACCAAATAAAAAAAATTATTTCGCGATTGTGAAAACGGTCCAATCGTTTTATATGCCATTTATAATATTATAAAAATGTTAACTCTAGGACTCATTTTGGAGTATGAGCATACTTTATTTCAATACTTTTATTGTACTGTTTCATAAAATATTACCTATTTATTACATTTTATTTTTATCGAAAATTGACTTTGTTTCCTGGACCAAAGTAAAGAATGTAGATGGTAACAACCAAAACGATATCTTGCCTTACATTAAATATAAATATTTCCTAAAATAAATAATTTGGTTTATATACGGGTAGTAATACGAGGGATGTTTATAATTTCAAGTCACGAATATAGAGTCGTTTCAAAATATATTGCGACAATAATTGCGACACATTGAGTCGGAGTGGGACGCTT